AATGACAATGCACTTCACGACATAACATGGCCAGATGCACCAGCCACGTTTTTGTCGTTTTCACAGTTCGAGTGTGGTGTGCAAACTTTAAGCCCTAAGTGATCCCTCTTTTCCATTTTAGGGAGTAGTCTCTTTCGACTATGAACTATGGTCTTGGACCGGTGAAGATTTTCTGGCCTCGATCAGCCCAGAAGCAAAGTTGTAAGTCTCTGGATGGTTGTTTTAAGAGGTACCTGGGTAAGGAAAGAAGATTGAGTTTCCTAGGAAGGTTTTTTGCAGAATTATTATAATTCCTACCAGAGGCCTCTTGTTTTAGAAGCAGATAGAGGCCTTGGTTTGAGCATTTTAACTCACTGTGTCTCTGAAGTACAGATATTTTTGGAGTATGGTAGGTCGCTTTCAAATATCCGCAGAGGAGGGCTGTATTGGGTGTAATTTAGCCCAATGTAGGTCCGCTGCCGTTAAATTCTGTAATTAGTTCAAGGCTGTATGAGCTAGGCTTTGGGGACTGACACTCTTTTACTATGCTTCAAGTTTAATTTCTTTTTGGATAAGCTTGCTTAAAGGGGACGTTGCACCCAGTTTCCAGCAATTGGGGCCTGAATAGGATGAGTATTAGAGCTGTCAGTAAGGGCTTCGAGCCATTGTTCGTTCGTATGTTTCTGTAAGATTACCCTGGAAGGTAAGCTCTGGTTGACTCCTTGCTTGTGCGATTAAGGCCTACAGACTAGAGATCGTGTTAGTTCTGGAATGATGATAGCATTTCATAAGGAGAAAAGACCCGCTTTGGACATAAGATTCATGACTTCTCAGGACTTCAAAGCTAAAAGTCTCAATAGAGCTAGCAGATTTGGTTTAAATTAGGGACAGCGGAAGCGGGAGCACAACGCCCTTTCTTTTCACAGCGCTTCAAGTGAGAATTTTGGAAAGTACTTTGGTTTTCAGCCTAATGGGACCCTGAACCCGGTTTCCAGGTAGCTAAGGATATAGGGATAATTGGTAGAAGGTGCCCACGCCAAAACCTTTTCGGTTTTGGCCGCCCAAAGTTCAGGTGTTTGGTACTACCGGCCCAATGTCTTCCATCTGGGGTACTACAGGCCCACTTGTCGCTCCAAGGGCCCTACCGGATCATGAATCTTGCGCATAAACAACGCCAGATTCATTTTGACGTAAAAGAGGGCGAGGGTGGTACCGCTGAAGGGAAGAATGAGGCCCAGGTACCGTATTTTGAAAAGGAAGGGCCCTACCGGTTCATGCATGTGGCGCAAAAACAGCGCCCAATTCATCAACCGGTAAATCTAGGCCGACAGAGTTGTGGCCACGGCGCAAAGGCGCCTTTTACCCAGGCTGAAGACATTTGGGCCGGTAGTACCAAACGTATGCTAGTGATTAGCACAAAAAAAAATGATGGTTTGACAACCACGATGCTGACACAGACAATCCAGAAAAGAAGAAGAAGAAAAGGAGGAGAAGAAGAGAGAGAGAATACAAGAGCAGTAGCGATGTCCCCGAACTCGACTTGAATTCGAAAGAATAATCATGAAGAACAAATGAGCAAAGGCAAAAAACCTCTGCATGGCGAACGACCCTACCGGTTTCACCTGGTCGCCTACCAGGATCATCAGGGGTCTAAAGTCGATAGGATGAACATCATGGTACTAGCCTATATACTCAGTTTAACAAAGGAAGTCCATCGACTAGTAGAAAAATGAAGTTGTGTCAAAAGTAAGAAAGAAAAACTACAACCCATTCCACGAAAAAAAACATTCCGCCGAGCGAAAGTACCTGTCATGGCCCAAAGACCAAGTTCAGCTAGAAATTCCACAAAGAACAGACTTCGCGATTCCGAACAGACCACTTCCAGAGCATAAAAAACCACTTGCCAAGTGTCAAGAAAGACTTCGAGAAGGCGCGCAGAGATTACCGACAAAAAATAAAAGAAAAAAGAAAAAAAAAGAAAAAAAAAAGAAAAAAAAAGAAAAAAAAAAGAAAAAAAAACTTATCCCAGTCAGCCACCCTTGATACCAAGAAACATTTCTTCAAGAGAGAAATGTCCAATTCTCGTGAGACTCCCCGTAACTGCTGAAAGAAAAAGAGTAAAAGGGGGAAGAAAAAAAGGGGGCCGAATCCCGTAAAGATCAGAGCCTAGAAAACTCTGAGTGACTGAATAGATACCGATTATTGACCAGAGACATCAAAAAGGCTGGATAGCAAGAAAAAAACCCAAAAAAAGAAAGACCGAAGAACAAGAAAGCCCCCCTAACACAAGGCACCTCAGACACCCGAATCAAACCAAGAAGCGACCCCATTCAGTCAGGACCTGTAGCCACTCATTTCAGAGTCCACAGTATTTCTTGGAGAAGTTAACCAAAGCGTAGTCGAAAAAGTCATCCGGATAACCCCTCTTCCATAGCGTACATTTGAGAGCAAAGAGCAACGGAAAAACCATTCCTTTCACTGGCGCGTACGTCTTAGCCCGGTGAAAGAAGGCACTGAGAACTGCCATCTTCTGTTGTCTACCAGAACATGACACAAAGCTCTGAATATTCTCAAAGACCAGCTTACCGTTAACATCACCTCTCTGATTCTTAATTATAAGAAAACACAACACACCCGTTTTTCCTTCGAAAATCTTAAGAACACTTCAGAGGTAGTCCCACCACACATCCTCACTGGTTTTTTTCCATGACAAGATTGCTATCGTAGCATTGGCTTAACCTTTGGATAAGATCATTCGTCTTCTTTGTCCTTGCAGGTCATTCTTGATAGAGTGTACGAACACAGAGACATCGTCGACCAGTCTAACCCCCTTGAAAAGTTTTCGATCAGCACCCAAATTACTAAGAAAAACAAATTCAATATACGAGCAGAGCAGGCAAGCTAAACCAGGACTAGAAGACTTCCCCATTGGGATACCCTCTACTTGTCGCAAGGGTCGCCCGGCAACAGAGACAAAGGTATGCTTGAGTTCGAAAAAGATAAAGTCAAAGACACTAGAGAGAGTATTTTTTTTCCACCCAATGTCGATAGCCCCCTTAAGGAGTTTTGCTCCCTTACCTTGCTTGCGTACAGCAACAGCCGACACACCCTGATCCTGCCAGTAGTCTATGACCCATCGTAGAGCCCTTAAAATGGAATCATGTGGGAGATTTGAGAACATTTCCTTGATATCGAAAGACGCTCCTACCAGCTTGTGCCCTTTGGTCAGACCTTTATTAACTTCCTTAAGCCGTGTCAACAAACCATCAGCACTCCGGAGGTTGAAGTTAGAATCTGACGGCAAACTCTAAAGTAACGCATTGACAGCTTTGGACACGATTCTTCCTCCCACCGCAGAACACTCTGGATACGACGGGCATATTGGTCTCCAACAAGAGACATCCTTGTGGTTGGGAAGACAGTAGGCTTTCCCAAAGCTACCACTCTTTTTCCAAGCCCCAACGGTTTGCAGATCATTTCTCTTGTACTCACACCGACATTCATCCAACACAAGACTCTCCTTCTTATTGCATGCGATGAACGCAGGGTTTCCAAAAAACAACTTCCTCATCCCCGATTCATAGATCAGTGGACAACAGACGAACGTATCGCCCAAGTTATGGTCAAGCGGAGTGCATACAAGCCCAGTCAACTTAGACGGAAGGGAAAATAAATCATCTTCACAAACCGTCGCACCTTGTCCCAATGCATCTCCTCGCAGAAAACAATCACGCAGACTTTCCGAAGTGAGTAAAGAGGAATTGACAGGGGGAAGAGAGGGATGTGAAGAGAAAGCAAAGGCTACCTGTTTATGAAGAGCCCCTACTAATCCAATACGTGACGGACACATTATGTTTGTTGCGTTCCTCATCCATATAGGAAAATCAGAACGATCATTCAAACGGAAAGCAACATGATCGTTATCTCGTGGAAAGGAGGCATCGGAGTCGGTGCAACTACACGTGACACTAGTCAGTCTTGAGAAATTCCTGAAGGACGGTGAAGGTACGAATGTAGTCTCCCACAGTTTTGTTCCGACACCAAACAATGCGCATTCGTCGGGCTAGCATACCCTTCCATGCATCAGTGATCTCTAACTGTCAAGAATCCGCACACACAGCCTTCAAACACTAGCCTTACAGATACTCCCATCATACACGATACGCACCACCAATCTCTGTCGAACATGCACCCCAGAACGTGCCAGACAGTGTTGGGACAGAATACAACGCAAACGAAAACGAGTTCGCTTTTCATTGAAAGTTCGTACAATGGTATAGGCAGCAACAAGCTTATCGAAATTCCACAGATGAAGAATACCGCGATTCTAAGGGTTACTGACCAAACCAGCAAGTGGAGCTTTCAAAGCCAGAGTCCTACTTAAGAACGGTACAATGGAGTTAAAAGTAAGAGTTACGCCGCCCTTAATCCACGCACGGGCGAACCTGAGTTCAACTGACCCGAAAACGCAAGGGACCAGACTTCCACCAAATAGTCGTTTGACCACTTTCCATCGGTCAACGATTCAATCCCCATCAGAACAGTGAACAACAGTCCGACATACCGCGCTCACCCTACAGTCTTCCAAAATCCTGAGCAAGCTATTACACACAACGCCAGAGCCGGAATGGAAAAGAACAATAGATCCACTCGTTCTCGAACCATCCGAAACATTAACACCGTCTCTCTTCTTCTTCCTCAAGCGTTCTCTCAAACCAGGCCGACATCTTCGTTTTTGCCTGGGTTTGTCCCTCGTATTGAGAGCAGGACATAAGAGCCGTGTGAAATACTTCTCAGTTTCAGCCAGATTTTTGGATGAAACTCTACAAAGAGGGACAGCAACATATGTATGTGCACCGCACCTTTTCAACCATCGGTACATATTCTCATTTCGCTTCTTCTTCTCAACTGCGTTTACATGACAGGTTCGATATGTATGTTCCCTCCAACGCGAATGAAGGTCGCGTTGGGTGCTTCCAACATAGAGATGCCTAGTCCAAGGCGAGATAAGAGCGTACACAATCGGTCAAGTCCATTCATTAGCATCCTCCCTTCTAAAAGAACGTCCGTGCACCAGAAAACTAGACAACTTATCACCCCATGGAATACAACCCAACAGAATCAGACCACATAGAGCAAGGCTGAGAAGTAAGTTGATTTCGCGACAACGAAGGAAACTTAATGAAAGAGATCGAAGTTGACAACAGATACGCACAGATTGCCATGAAGAAGCCGCGTTCGGGCGTAATTCTAAGAAGTAGCTGAATCACGCCCGACACCGGTTTCAGAGTTCCCATCACCATCTTCCGTTACTTCAACCACAGAAACACCCTTATCTTCGCCTTCTCCGTCGAAAACAACGGACGCCCTCTTCCGCGCAATGTCTTCCTTTGTGGGATCGGGAGTAGTGTAAGTGATACCTTCTCTTTCGCAGATGGCCACCACTGCTTCTTTATTCAGTGCACGTAGCTGTTTCCGTTCGTTACGAATGAAAGCTTCCCTGTCGACCGCTTCCTTAGCTGGACTGTCCAGCACCTTCTCCTTGCCTTTCCTAGCGGAAACACATGCCGCATCGTCCAATCTGGACTTCAGATTAGTCCCACGGGCCTTCGATTTCTTCACAGTCTGAAGTCTCGCCATCTCTTCTTTTAACTTCTCAATCTCTTTCTCCGATTCTCTCCGAGCATTCACCTCCTTGAGTCGCATTTCTTTGAGTAACTCAACCTCCGCCTGATGCCTTTCGACGACACCCTTCAACTGTGCATCCACTTGCCGTGCCACACTAGGAACTGCCGAGGGAGTAGTACGAGGCCGAACCCTTGCTTCAGTAATTGGAGTGCTCCCAACAGCCACGCAACCGCGTATATTCCCTGGACGCAGGGCCTCGTTCCGCCATACTTCAGCGTTGTTCTCAGCGTCCTCGCACTGTCTCTGAAGTGCAAGGATAACACCTTCCAGCAATGAGAAATGTTTGTCGGCAGCAGCCTTCATTTCAGCTTGTTCGCGGCGAAGCCGCCGAACCAACTCTTTGTGCTCGTTACTCGGTTGTGCCATAGTAGCGGAGGTGCTGGCACCTGCATTTAACCAACTTAGTCTTTCGACTTCGGCTTTAAGAATAGCTACTTCATTTCCCTCGTTAGTCTTCTTCCCGTCAATTGCCTCCACCACCTTATCCAACTTTTCACCCATCTCCTTGTGCATCTTCGATTGCTGTTCTTCACGCTCCTGTTTCTCACGCTGACATCGCTCCTCGTCTTCTTTTTCACGCTTCTTCTTCTCAGCGTCCTCTCGTTCTGCTCATTCTCTAGCCTCCTCTGCATCATGTCTAATACTAATCCTAGCGACCTTTTCTTCCAAAGTGAACACCCGTTTCCCAAGCCAACTGCCACCATTAGACTGACCACCACCGTTGGAGTACTGATTGGAATAAGCAGGTGCGGTAGCTCCAACAGTCGCCGCTGGCGCTGTCAGCAAAGGAGTGGCTGGAACAATCGCAGTCGAAGTAGAAGGTTGGTTGAGACGCCGATCTGGAAAAGGACAGTATCTGGAGACAATCGCAGTTGAAGTAGAAGGTTGGTTGAGACGCCTATCTGGAAAAGGACAGTATCTGGAGATGTGCCCAGGCTGTCCACAGTTGTAACAGTTCCGAACCGCCACCATGTTAGCATTTCCGTTGCTTGCCATCGTAACGTTGAGTAGTCGAAGCCACACGACAGTAGTATAACCTCTATGTCGGTTACTCCGTGAGTTGAAGTATGCTAGTGATTAGCACCACAAAAAATGATGGTTTGACAACCAAGATGCCGACACAGACAATCCAGAAAAGAAGAAGAAGAAGAGAAAGAGAAAAAGAGAGAGAGAGTACAAGACCAGTAGCGATGTCCCCGAAAGCGACTTGAATTCGAAAGAATAATCATGAAAAACAAATGACCAAAGGCAAGAAAACTCTGCATGGCGAACTACCCTACCGGTTTCACCTGGTCTTCTACCAGGATCATCAGGGGTCAGGGGTCTAAAGCCGGTAGGATGAACATCACCGTACTAGCCTATATACTAACAAAGGAAGTCCATCGACTAGTAGAAAAATGAAGCCGCGTCAAAAGTATGAAAGAAAAACTACAACCCATTCTACGAAAAGAACCATTCCGCCGAGTGAAAGTACCGGTCATGGCCCAAAGACCAAGTTCAGCTAGAAATTCCACAAAGAACAGACTTCCAGATTCGGAACAGACCACTTCCAGAGCATAAAAAAACACTTGCCAAGTGCCGAGAAAGCTTCGAGAAGGTGCGCAGAGATTACCAGCGGAAATGAAAAAAGAGAAAAAGAGAGAAACAAAAAAAGGAAAAAAAACTTATCCCAGTCAGCCACAATTGATACCAAGAAACAGTTCTTCTTTCAAAAAAAAACAAAAAAAAAAAGAAACAGTTCTTCGAGAGACAAATGTCCAATTCTCGTGAGACTCCCCGTAAGTGCTGAAAGGAAGAGAGTAAAGGGGGGCAGAAAAAAAGGGGGCCGAATCACGTAAAGATCAGAGCCTAGAAAACTCCGAGAGACTGAATAGATACCCGTTATAGACCAGGGACATCAAAAAGGCTGGATAGCAAGAAAAAAACCCCAAAAAAAGGAAAGACAGAAGAACAAGAAAGACCCCCTAACACGGCCTAACTTCGGGTGGCCAAAACCGAAAAGGTATTGGCGTGGGATCTTTTTACCAATTATTTTTTATTATTTTTTTTGGGGGGATTTTCTACCAATTATCCCAAGGATACATCTGGAGCAGCTTGTTTAGGAATTGGACGAGATTTGAATTGTGAGGTCCCCGACCGCGTTTTATAATGGTCTAATAAAGTTAAATGCTTTCCCAACCAAAAAAAAAAAAGAAAAAAAACTATGAACTCCAATCTTTGACACACCCTGTGCAGGTCGGAGACGATGCTCATGCTGGATATTCCTGTATGTAATTGAGTGCAACTGCCTGGCCGTGCGCTTTGACGGCACACTCAGACAAGGATATTTTTACTTATTTCTGTGCGGAATTCTGTCCACATGCATCCAGACAGGCCCGTAAATACAGTCAGATACATAAAACATAGTGCTTGTCTGAGTACACCCTGAGTGGCGGACACAGAGCGAAGGGGATCCAAACAGTGGGTCACAGAGGCAATCAAAATCGAGGAACGGGGGCAGAAGCGAGCATACAGCTATGCCGGGATGTGCGCGCGCGCGTGCACCCCCACCTGCACACCCACGGAGGGTGGTGGAGGCTGGGAAGAAAGGGGAGGGAGAGGGAGATAGGAAGGTCGGAGAGGAGGCAGGAAGGGCGCCTACGAGGGAGCAAGAGAACGAAATACGCGCGCCCGCAGACACAGAGAGAGAGAGAGAGAGACAGAGAGAGAGAGAGAGAGAGAGAGAGAGAGAGAGAGAGAGAGAGAGAGAGAGAGAGAGAGGACGGCGGGTAAGCTAAGAGAGGGAGATAAGCAAAGTGGTGCAAAGAAAGGAAGAAGCAACCGCGGGCGGACAAACGGAAAAAAAGGGAGACTAACAGACAAGCAGGCATAAAGACAGGCAGACAGAATTCTTCTGTGAAATGCCCCTAAAACAGGCATAAATAGGGCGATCCGTGCAGTTAGCTTGGAGACCGTCGATCTGTACAGGTATTTCGAGATTTTTTTTTTTTTTTTTGAGAATAAGCTTATTTGGAAAGCGGTGGAAAAGATGCTATAAATAGGGCGATCTGTGCAGTTAGCTTGGAGACCGTCGATCTGTACAGGTATTTCGAGATTTTTTTTTTTTTTTTTTGAGAATTAGTTTATTTGGAAAATGAAGGACACTGGTGTCTGTCGCGGGGCCGCAGCAGCAGGGAGCATCTCGTCTCACAGTCGCGCAGAATTCCCGAAGGCTCTCTTGCGGGTCACCATTCCTCGTGGAATCATGATTCCTCGCTGTAGCAGGTGTTATCCCCTGGCTATGATGATGATGATGGTCATGATGGGCTTCTTCGGTGATGATGCGAGCAGGGGAAACCGATTCTTAATCAAGTATAGTCCTGTAGGATTGGGTCTTGCGTCGCCAATCGTCGACTCAGCCGATTCAAGGGTGCTAACGAGACAGCAAAGAGAACTTGTAGATGGAGATCCTAAGCGGAAGAACGAGGAGAACCACTCGGGCGTGGTGCTTGTGAACAATAGTCGGATCTCCTCCCTCTTTACTACAAACCGATGTGTGGTGAATGCGTCAACAGAAACCGTGAGACAATGGTGGGTGCGTCCGGGGTACCGTGAATGGTGTGCTTCGATCGTGCGAGACATGGTCTTCTCCCCGCGTGTTGCCAGCTATGGCGGGAATAGCTCTGGCAGTGTTTTTGGCGGGAAAAGCTCTGGCGGCTATGGTGACGGCAATGGAAGATCAATCTATTACGTTCTCGAGGAGAGCTGTCCGGTGGATTCTTCGAGGCCGGAGGCTCTGTCGAGTGTGCTTGTCTCGATTCGCAGGGCGGAGCTTCTGAAGCTGAGCCACGTGAACGACGACGACGCCGACGACGACGCCATATCCGCTGGCAAGGCGATGGAGAGCGAAGCAGTAACCTACTGGTGGTCGAGTCTGGCTCCCGACGGACCGCGATCGACTAACGCGACCCCGATCGCGCAATCTGTGGGAGGCACGATGTTGTCCGACCGTCGCGTCGGTCTGTACACAATGGTCCGCATCAACGGCATGGAGATCTCCACGTCGGGATCGCAACTCATCTTGGCCACCGCATATGCTGCTTACCCAACGCGTGAGAAAGACGCACTCCTTGAGCACACGTGGACTTCGAGCATCGTCTTCGTCTCCATCGCCAACGGCAGCCGAAGATCGGTTCCGCTCAATCGAACGGTGGGGATTGCGGAGAGCTTGGCTTTCGATCCATCAAGGACCAGGTTGTACATAGCAGATTTTAGAGAGAAGATTTCGAGGGTTCTCTCTGCACACACAGGAGGACATGACGAGGAGACTGGCGCAGAGAACTTCGCACATAGGTTGCAATTGGAATGCCCTCTTAGTGGAGACATCTCGGATCTTAGCTCAACGAGAGAGCAGCAGTTTGGGAGAGAAGACCTGCCGACCGTTAGATCGACATTCAGCACACATAGCTTTGCCTCGTAAAGTGATTGTCGTTACCTGGTGACCCCCAAAGGAGGTAATGTGTTGGGGATGGGAGGAGAGTGCGTACTATACCCCAAAGCAAAGCTCGGCTATGTATACTACTCCGGGTTTGCTAATGAAGATAACGGTACCAACTATACATACGGTGAAGTGTCTGTCTCCTACTCCAATTCAGTTCACCCATGAGCATATACAGGACCTGCTTCGATCGGAGCCATTGCAAGATGCGCCGACGGAGAAGGTTATGTTCTTGAATCTGGAGGCAGTGGTTTCCACTGCCGATGGGTGCAATCTATTCACCCTGGAGCAGAGGGGTTTATACGGAAAGGGCCGTGCTTGTTGGATTAAGCTCACGAGCCCGTGTACCGACTATAGTAGTACGGTGGACACGGTGGCCACGTGGGAGGGAAACGACAGATGGACTTCATTGGCCCTCAACGAGGAGGATGGAATCTTGGCTTTGTACGTGGGATCTAGCAAAGGCGAGATCTTTGAGCTGCAAATCAACAAGTCTCAACTCCACAACTGCTACCATTTTTATGGAATGGGAGGCTGCGGAGACGCGGGCGACAGTAAAGTGCAATGGTACTGGAGAAAACCGTTCACGACCACAGTTGCTGTGGTGGTTGGCGTAGCTGTAGTCGCACTGTTCATCTATAGGTGTCGCAAGGAATGCAGGGCCCGGGTCGCTCCTGCGGATGACGATGGCCAAGGTGGAGGTAATAATGACTGAGAAGCAATGAACAGTGAGCATTCAATCCAGCTGTCGCACTCTCGCTGCGTCCCTGACGGCAAAAACCGCGGGCGCACTGGCACGAACAAGTTTGGCCCTCTCTCTCTCTCTCTCTCTCTCTCTCTCTCTCTCTCTCTCTCTCTCTCTCTCTCTCTCTCTCTCTCTCTCTCTCTCTCTCTCTCTCT